ATGAATACTAGATCTAATTTTCTTAAAAGTGAACTTCAAAAGATATACAACAACCTAAACATGAGTTATGAATACGCTGATTTTTCTAGATTGGAAAACGATACTAAATTTATAAAAGTATTTGAGTTGCTTATGGAAATAAGTGAGAAATCAAATACGCTTAACAAAGTTGTAAAAGGAAACTATCTATTCATATAATAAATGGAAACCAAATTCTTTTCTGAGATAGAGAAAAAGATGGATGTTAAAACACTCAAGGATTTTGAAAAAGAAGTAAGAACAAAAATATATAATGAGTTGGAAATTCTTAGAAAGAAAAATGATAATCTTTCTAGAATGCTAATTGTAGGTGAAATAAATATATGGAAAAAAATCAGAAATGAGGAATATTCTTGGTTGCAGCTAAATAGTGATAAAAAAAGAAACTTTATCGTCTTATTGACATTTACTCAAATTTCATAGATATAGTTGATAGTGTTAAAGATCTAAATACAAAAGTTGAGAGGGTTAAATCACTAAAAAATACACCGGTTGATGAAGATTAAAAAAAATAATATTTATTAAATATTATTTTTATCCTCCAAAGTATGACTTTATAAAATCGCTGTTGTCATTATCAAAATGAGGGTTATGTATTACATCTAGAATACCTTTACCTTTTTGTCTCTCGTAGAGATAATATAAACACCAATAACCACATAGAACAGTATTGCGATTTTGTATTTCATCCATTGAGTACACTATACGTTTTCCAGATCCCGTATGAAAATACTCTAATACTTCGTTTGGCATTATCAGTCCAAATGGATCAAAGTACTCAAACACTGAATCAAGATTTCTATAACAAACCCAGTGAGTGCCAGGACCTTGAATATCATCTAGATTAATTATTCCACATTCTTTTCTTATCTTTTTTGGTAGTCCATCTCGACTATATATTCCTCTAAAATGTTTAATACCAAGTCTTTTTACCCATTCCATTAGGTCATAGTTGGATAGAGGTTTAATTACAAAATGGAGTTTAGAATGGTTAAGGGAGGGGGGTGTAGGGGGAACCGTAGGTCCCCCCACTACAAAATGGAGCCGAGAATGGGAATTGAGTTGAATGGGCTGTTTTTTCCTAATAGTAGACCCTTTCCTTTGGACTTACATTGTTATTAGAAGGTTATTGTTTTATATCACGAGATTATCGTGTGATTTTTTCAACCAATCAAATGATTACACAACATTTTCTGTGTAATCATAACAACTTGTAGAAAATGTTGTGTAATCATAACAACTTGTAGAAAATGTTGTGTAAATCATAACAGATCGTATAAAAATTTGATTATGCCATTATTCTTTGACACAGTTGGAAGGCCGCAGGTATGTCTGAGATTAAGCTCTTAGCAATAGTTTTCCTCCTTGCTGTTCTATTTCTGCGTCTCGCTCATGAAGCACCAGAGCGTAAATATTATAATCAGCCTTTGGATTAGCAGATAACTCATAGTGAAATGCAAGTTTTGTAACTCCATCTTTTATATCCATTTTTTGTTTTGTAAGATCAAAATAAACAAAAGGAAACAAAGACTCAAAATTTGTTCTGTTGAGAAGTGTTCCACCTTGAAAGTCATTATTTGCATAAACATAACCCATTACTTCTCGAAACACTCTCGCTGGATCTGTAGCTGGTTTAAAGTGAATATCAGGGTATTCATTTCCATTTCCTACCTCAAGATAACAGCGAGACACATTAGCATTGTTTGGTAAATTAAAAGTGTTGTATAGAAATGGATTTGCTGTTTGAGAACCGATATTGACTGTGTTAATCGCAAAAACAAAGACATGGCGAGGTTTTGAGATAGCATTTGTAATTCTAAAATGACCTGTTTGCTGTTGAGAGTTATTTGATCTCTCTACTACTTCATTAAGATACTTCCATTTGTAGGGTTTGAGATAATTTTTCAGGTATATTTCTTGTCCGTTTTTGTTAATTGTTATTCTTGGAACAAATAGTTGAAATCTTGTTAGTATAACTCTACAGTCTGCTCCACCAGCTCGCCAGATAAGATTACCATCTGATTCTAGTTCAATATTTAATTCAATTTTTGTATTTGGAAGAAGTTTGTTTTCTAATGACTCAAAGAAAGAATATCTGTTGAGGGGAATTTCACATCGCACTGTTGCTGAGTCACCTAGTAATAATTTTCTTGCAGCAAAACCTTTGTTATAATTAGCTACTACTGCATCTAACATATTACCCGCTTCATCGGCGTTGCCAGCAGCATTTTGCCTGTGTGTTACTCTCCTTGGTGTAAATTTATTTCTTTCAGCATGTCTTGTTGTATCAAGATAGTAAAATTCATTTGTAGCGACACTCTTAACATAGGAAGGATTATACTCAAGCAAATTTTTAATATTTACTACATGATTAGCATAGTTGCAACTGTAAACATCTCTTCCATTTGCTAGGATTGTTAACTTTTCTATAAGAGAATTACTTCCATTTACTATTCCCATTTGGTCTCCATCTGCGTCTATATCAGCTCCAGCAGCAAGCTGATTAACTTTAAAATCCACTGAAAATTGCGCGTTATACCAATCAAATGGAGTAGCCTCACCTGTATTATCAGCAACAAATCTATGTCCTATTTTAGTTTGGTGAGCACCATTTCCAGGTGTTGCTAAAGCCTGTTCAAGGTCAAAAACAACATCTTCATATCTATCTAAATATTCTGGATTTCTAAAGGACTTCATTTTATTTTAATAATTATATAATTTTTCCCCCACTAAGAATAGAATTCACTCTTTCATTTATTTCTTGTTGAGTCATTTTTCTTTTTTTAGCGGGGGGTTTTGGGGGTACCACCCGTTTGGAATTGTTTCAACATTTTTATTAAAAGTAACTTTTGGTGTTTTATTACTTTTGGTTAGCATTTGAACTATTTTATCACCTGCATTTTTACCAACATGTTCACCGGTTTTTGTTGCAGCTGCTGTTACTGCTTTTTCAACTCCCTTTTTAGCGGCTGATTTGACTGTTTTTCCAAATAATTTTGAACCTACTGATTTAAGAATATCCGTTATTCGTTCTCCATAAATATGTTGTCTTGTATATCTACCCAATTCAGGGTCAAGTTTTTTTTTATACTGTGATTGTCGCATCATTTTTATCTAATGAATATATATTTAGCTGAGGAGTAGTGAGGGAGGGGGTCATAGGGGGAACCGTAGGTTCCCCTATTACATAGAGGGAAGTATCAAAGTCATAAACCAATCAATACCATTAAAATTTACTGGTCTTCCAAGTGAGTCTGTAACATAAATTCTCATTTCATCAATGTGATATGAAGATACAGGACAATACAATGGTCTTTTAGGTTCAAACGTAAATGGATAAGACCTTGTGAGATTATCAGTTGGTATCACAGCTATGGTATTTGTATTTATTCCATTTACAATACTATCAGTTATTGAGCTTGTGTTGATATTTAATACATCAATCGAATTTGTGATATTTGGTAGTTTTGATCCATACTCTGTTTTTGTTATGAGTTTCTTTTCAAAACCAATCAGTTCTCCAAATTCTGTTCCTCTCAGATCAAGTTGATAATCACCTTCAAGTGATAATAACACTCGATAGGTAGATAGTAGAAAAGTTAGATTGATTGAATAAGTTTTCTTTCAAATTGAATCTGTTGAGTGATGAGACTTTTGAGTCATATATTGATGAATGTAATCATTGATATCTGAGTAGGAATACATTCCATCTGTAAAAGTAATTGTTTGCCAGTTGGTTCCATCATGAGTGTATTTGATTTTATTGTTTCCATAATCACTTCTAATGTTGTACCAAGAGTAAGTCATGGACAACCGATCAAGAGCAAGTTGATGTTTCTTTTCAGGGTCGAGTTTCAAAGATGGGTTAAATTTGATAGTAAAATCACCAGGTATGCTTGTTCCTCTTTTTTCTCTGTTTATCGAAGAAATGTGAATAGCTCGTTCTTCCATTTTATCTAATGTTTATATTCCTTTTAAGGGAGGGGTTATAGGGGAACCGTAGGTTCACCTATTTTTAGTAAATCATTCAGTTGTTTTTTTGAGATTACTTTCATTTGGTTGAGAAGATGTGCGATTTGAGAAAACTCATTTATCACACCATTATTCCCAGCAAGAATTGATCCACCGAGTAGTTCAAGTCTATCTAGAAGTTGATGTGGGTTGTTAAAGTAAATCATTCCAGAGCCAGATTTTTCTTTGAAATACCTAAGATTACTTAAATTTGATGAATATATGCTTAATGTGTTATAATTTTTTATGTTATTTAATGTTTCTTTTCGTGGATTTTTACTTTTTGGTTGAGCTATAACATAATTGTTTGAGACTCGTACAATATCCGCGGTATTTTTTAATCTTTTATTAAATTCTTCTAAATCACTATTAACACCATCAATTAAATTATCAATAGTAGAAATATCTTCTTTAAAATAATGGGAAGGTAGATTATCATAACCAAGCGATTTTAGTATATCTTTTGCTTCTTTATTTTCTATCAGGTGTAAATTTTGCTATTTTTGTTTTTTTCGTCTGATGTAGAGGGTAAAACTTCTTTGGCTTCTTCGTATTCTTCTTGGTCTTCTTCGTCTTCTTTAGGCGAGTCTTCAATCGCCTCAAAACCGAGTAATTGAGCCAAATCCCATTTTTTTACTTCGTCAAGTTTATCAAATCCTTCAGTTATAGCCATCCTGTTTTGATTAAGTCCTTGTGTAAGAGCAAGTTGATTAGCTTGAAGTTGTGCTATAGTTGCGTTTTGTTGTTCGTCGATACTTTTTTTAATGTTATCTTGAGATTTAATAAGTGGTTTAAATGTCTCTTTAAATCCCTCTCTCATATCTTGTTTTTGCCATTTTGTTGTTTTTATAACATCTCTCACCTGTCGAATCAAAGAGTCGGCTTCGATTTTATTTCTTGCAAAATTTTTAGCTTCTTCTATATCCATTTTATCTATTAATTAAATAAAAATGGAAATTCCAAACTATGATAGTACCGATGACCTTGATAAAAAATATAAACAGCTATTTCCTTTTATGCCAGCGGATACATTTCGAATGTTAATCTGTGGAAACAGTGGAAGTGGTAAGACTAATCTTTTGTACCACATGTTAATTAAACCACTACTGTATTACGATGAAATTTATCTTTACGCGCGTAATCTAGAACAGGATAAGTATCAAAAGTTAATTCAAAAAATGAGGGAGTTAAGTAGTAAACTTGGATATGAAATACTTCATGTGAGTAACGACGAAATAACCCCGGTTACAGAAATGGATTACGAAGACAATCAAAAACTTGTAATATTTGATGATTACGTCTGTGATAAAAAACAGCGGCGACTTATTGATTATTTCATTCAAGGACGGCATAAGAATTGCTCTGTAATCTACCTCAGTCAGTCTTTTACAAAGCTCCAAATGATATACGGCTAAATTGTTCTCACTATTGTCTGTATGAATTTCCATCTTCAAGGGAAGCAAACAGAATATCATCTGAGTTGGGAGTTGACAAAGAGATATATAGGGCGGCAACAAAAAAACCATTTTCATTTTTATACGTCGATAAACCAAGAAAACGTATTGCTAAAAACTTTACTAGTAATCTACCCTAATAATAAAAAAATGGGAATATTTAACGAACAATCTTTTGATCATCCTTTTGCTAAAGGAATACAGGGCGCTCCAGGAGTTGGATTTAGTCTAACCGCAAATGGTAATTATGATATTAATAAAAAAAGACTCACAAATGTTGGAGCACCTATTTCTAATAATGATTCGCTACAAAGAAGTACGTAGATGATAATTCCAGCCGATCATCAACAACACATCTAACAGTTGATTCAAACATTGATATGAAGAATACATACCGAATTACAAATCTTAGCACTCCTCTGGATGGAAAAGAACCTCCTACAAAAGATTACGTAGACAACACATTTGTTGACAGAGATGGTTCCTACCCAATGAAAGGTAATCTCAATATGGATAATAATCGAATATTAAATCTACCAGCTCCAAATGTAGGTAATCAACCAACTCCATTAGCTTTTACAGATTTAAAGTATGTTGCCCGTGATGGTTCATCTACAATGACTAATAATCTAAACATGGATAATAAAAAAATAATTAACCTTAGACCACCAACATCAGACACTGATTCCGCAAACAAAAAGTATGTGGATGACTCAATACCTGATACTAGTTCTTTTATAAAAAAAGATGGAAGTATATCAATGACTAATAACCTAAATCTTGGAAACAAAAAAATAGTTGGCCTCACAACTCCAACATCAGACACTGATGCCGCAAACAAAAAGTATGTGGATGATAACACAGGTGCCCCAGATTTAAGTGATTATTTGGAAAAAGATGGTACAGTCGCTATGACTGGAGACTTAAATCTTAACAACAATAAAATAATAAATCTTAGTAAGCCAACCCAAGACAATGAAGCTACAACCAAAAATTATGTCGACAAGCTAGTTCATCACACTGCAGTTCAACCAAGTCATTACAACGACCAGTTTCCTTATCTCATGACAAGTGGGTCTCAATGAACTGATGAAATAGATACTGGAACTAGTTTTATTATAACAAGAATAGGAGACTTATCTCCTTCTAAAGATAATTTTCATAACTATAACCACAAAGTAATTTTCGTAACAATAAACAAAAATTCTCAAGGTGGATATAAGTACAAAATGGGGATCAACTTTTACAGGTTAACTGCAAATACTGATTACACGTTGTGCCTGGAGATACTCAACACTGATTATCAGCTGTGGCATAAGTCCCAAATAAGTGTAGACAAAGGAACTTCAACAGGATTATCAACTGGAAATGTTAGTGTAAGGAAACTCTCCCATAGGTACAACGATTCAAAGGGACAAGCACAATTTATGTATTATCACAGAATAATAGTTAATTTTAAGAAGTTATCATCTGGAAATAGATTCTTTCTTCACATTTTGGTTAATATACCACAAGATGGAACTGACCTAGCTGTGTATCCTAGACGGTTTTCAGGAGTCTACATAATTACTTATGGAATTATGGGTACATTTAGCAATATCGATCCAGATAAAGTTTACGACTATCACACCGCATTTGATATTAAACCAACAGAAGTGGTGTACAACGTTGATATAAATGCAAATAATAAAAAAATATTAAACGTCAATCTTGATAGAAACAATAACAATAGCGCAGCAACAGTTGGAATGGTAAAGGAATTAAATCCTCACACTATAAACAATCTTTATAGGGAAATTTTTAAAGAAGTTTATGATTTTACTAATGCCGCTAATTACAAATTAAATAGAACATCATCTGGTATTGTTTTTAACTATTTATCTTCTAGTAGTGGTAATTCTTTAAGAGATATGGATATACCAAATAGGACCATAGATAATATAAAAAAAGAAGGACTAAATATTAAAAATTATACTATTAGATTTGATCCTCCTAATGGCATAACAAAATATACTTTATGTGTTGTTTATTATCATCGAAATAATATAGATTTTTATTTGACTAAAGATGATATGAATGTTATGAATTTAAAAAATAATTTATTAAGAATAGATTATTATAATATTAATAATTCTATTGAATTAAATGTTAATAAACTAAAAAGTTCTTTAACCTTAGCAAATAGTTTTGATGGTAAAAAAATTGTTATATGGTTAACAGAAAATTTTAACTCAAATATTACAAAAGTTAAAATAAGTAACTACAGTGCAATATTAAGTTTAGAAACCGTTCGTTACTCCAACACACAAAGTTTTTCGTTTTTTAGTAGGGATGGATTGATAAGCAAAATAATGTTTTCTCCAAACTTTTACGACGACGACTCTGAGCAATATCATAAAGAAATGCTTCAAGAAAAGTTAAATGGTAGTTATGTAATTTAGATAGTTGGTGTAGCCAAGGGAGGGGTAATATAAACAAAAGAATAAAATGAAGGATATCTTTGAATTTAATCACATAGACAAGTCTCTGTCAGAATCAGACGTTAAAACCCTCAAAGACTTTTATAAACACTACCACAAAAAATACTGGTGTTTTAAGAAATCGTATAAAAGTTATAAATTTCTTGATGATGTTTTTACAATATCTAGTATATGCTTGGTTGCGATTGGAACTATTTCTGGTGGAATAACCCTAAACCCTGTTGTTCTCGGAGTAGTAAATGGTGCTGGAATTATAGTGGCGGGAATTGGAAAGAAAAATAATTATAAGAGAAAAATTGAGATGACAAGGATTGCATTCACTACTTATGAAAAAGTACTTGTTAAACTGCGAGCAGCTCTTCGTGGGGATGATTTTAATAAAGAAGAGTTTGTTGATCGCATGAAGTTGATAGATGAAATGATAATTGACCAAACACCTATAGCAGATAGATTTGTTAGTAGGTATGAAAAAAAGTTTGGACTAACTAAACAGTGATTTTAATATCATTTTGATATTAAAATCTATCCTGTTTTAAGTGATTTATAACAATCCCACCAATTTTCATAATTATCTAAAGTTTGTGGTGAAATCTTAAGATAAATTAGTTTGTACTTTTCACAACCCATCTCAGCCAAAAGTTTTTTGATTAAATAAAAAATACTTATCATTCTCTTTCTACAATATTGATTGTTTAGTATTCCATGACGTGATTGTCTATTGCCATTAACTTACTATAAAGTTCGTATTTTTGTTCATCGGTTAGGTTTATTCTTTTAGAAATTTGATTTACCTTTTTCTCATAGTAATACTTACGTTGATATACACTCTTTTTACGATAATGTAATCTATCACAATCTTTAACATCGTAAAAACCTAATACATGACCGTTTGCTACTCCACATTCATCACAGATTTTATAACCATAATCAATGGTAAAAGATGTACTGTTTTCACAATTACTACATTTAGCTTTCAAATTAACTTCCTCTGGGAAATTACTAGTATAATTATGTAATATTTCTAGATATTTCTTTATTTGGTCTTCTGTATATTTCATTTATTATTAAATTTTATTATATTCACTTATCTTAAAGCTATCGTTTTTACCTTACCCAAAAGAACTTCACGTTTATCATCTTCATTACTTAGAGCTACTTTGTTAACTTCTTTTGAATATATATCATGATTTTCACTTCTTATTATATTCATTTTCCTCATTTGTTTTTTACCTGAAAATAAACATTGAACATAGTCATCAAAATCTAATTTCTTTTTCACAACATTTTTCTTTATTCCTTTACATTTTCTCACCTCTTTATCCTCTTCTATTCTAAAACTGTAAAGTTTTGGTCGTAATCCAGCAAAACAAGTTATTTGTTTTCCTGCTACTTCATCTTTAAACATCCCAATTACTTTTTTGTTAACTCCTGTCAGTATTCCAGATTCATGATTGGGTGGGTAATCAGACGTGTCAAACTTTTTTTTTATGTCACGTGATATATCTTTGTAAAAATCATCTGTGTGAATATGGTACATTAATGAGTCTGTATCTGTAAACAATAATTCGGCTTTATTTTTGTATTTCTTTCTGATGTAATTATAATGAAAATCAAACATTAATGTTTTTGATAAATCAAGAATTGCTTGACCAACATATACTGGTTTGTCAAAATAAATTTCGGTTTTTTTCATATGACCTGCTATAAGATTTTTATCAAATATCGTAGCCCTATCAAAGTTTGGACGACTTGTTAGTTTAGCAGCTTTCTTACGATTATCAACGAGTTCTATATTTTGTCTTTTCCTTATATTTTCTATTGTTTTTCCAAACACTGAGTTATTCATAAGTTTAAAAAAGTCTTTCTCAAAACTGTTAGCTGCTGTTTTTCGAAGTTCAGTGTTTTTGCGTATATATGGTTCCATCCAAGGTCTTTGGTAAAGAGATATTCCTCTATGAACCGCAGTTATTCTCATTCCCATTTCAAGATATTGTCTAAGATTTCGATAATGAACAACATAGTTTTTTCTTGGTTTAAAATGACAAATTAGTTTTTCAACGCCATTAACAATTAACTTTTCAGGAGCTAAAGGATAGTCATTATGTTTTTCCCATAAGGATGAAGGATATTCCAAATCAACTTCAAATATATATCCTTTTCTTCCACGATTCGACATACTATGATTTACTTTTTCTAGGATTTCCATTAGTGACTCTTTTGTTAGGTTTCTCATCCATTTAAATCCATGTGTTGGAAGTGATTGAGACATTGCCCAACCATAAAGATTGTTTGCATCAAGATATTGAATAAAGGAGGACTCCTCATAAGGATTATAAGTTTTCATGTATTTGTTATTCGCTTCTGCGTATCTTTTTGATATATGTGTTATTCCACCACGAATACCTTTTTCAATCATCATTAACATATCATAATCATGTAGTAACTGTAATTCCTTCCCTGTTTCTTTCAGACAAGCATCGCAAGCTAAACCTGGAGATGTGTAATAATGTGCTGGATCTAACTTGTAATGTTTTAGACAAGTTTTTCTAAAGTTTTCAAATACATCTGACAAAAGTAGGACATCAGACTTTGGGTAAAGATCGAGATAATCTCTTAATGATCTACATTTAAAAGTATTCCACACGTTTATTGCGTGTTGGTAATCATCTTCGGTTATGTCTTCGTCGTTTAGTTTCGAATAAAATTCTTCTTTTGGTGGTAATTGTGTTTCGGATAGTTTTTCAAGTGATGAAACATAATCATAAGGATAAACTCCCTTACGAGTAACTAAATCTACATTTTTCTTAAATTCTCGTTTGGTATTATGAAAATCATCTGGCTGTAAATTTGAAACAAGATTAGCAAGTGATGTTTGAAGAAACTTAAATGAATCTATGAAACGAATTTCAAAATACAATGAAACCATTTCATCGTTTTTTTTAGACCTATACTCATCAACTTTAATCTTTTTAGAAAGGTTTTTAAAAAAGATGTTATAAGAGGCGTTATACGTCGGTCAATTACAACATATATGAACTTTTGGAGAAAAGCGACAGACGCCTTTTTTATAACCTCAAACGCGATGACCATCCACTAAAAAGCGTGCTCCCAAGGTACAAAGACTGTATTGTAAACCTTCGAAGGATATCCGTTGTCAGGCCCAGCATTAACACTGAACGTTTCAAAGATAGCTTTTTTAATAGATTAATTTTTAAATATAATCTAGCTGTGTAAATATCCCATATGTATTTTTAATCAATTTAATCTTTTTTATTCATCTTGCCATTGTAATTTTTTCTATCGATATATATTTTTACTGTAACATCAGATATGTAATTTTATCGGATGCTTTTAATAAAGACGTTATTATTATTATTATTAAAGACGTTATTATTTTTTAGAAAAGGATATGTTTTTTTTTTTCCGTTGAAGGAATGCAATTTAACTCACCTGGTAAAGTTGCGAGTTGTTTCATAAACAAATGAGCGTCATACCCTTGAAGATTATGAAATATAACTGGTAAAACTAAAGGTTTCCTACACTTAAGATTACAACTGTTATGAGCAGCACCACGATACTGACCTGTAAAATGACAATGATCTCTAACTTTGTCTTCAAATAAATCTTTGTTACATATATGACAAATCATTGCTTTATCAAATGATTTTTGTTCGGCTTTTGTTAGTATAAGAGGTTTTGGTCTGCGATAAAAATCATTATAAATACCTCTAGTTGCTTCTGTTAGTTTTTCTACGAATATTTTTGGTATATTTTCATCTTCTTCTTTTTTAGTATATGTGATTGGTTTTATTCTTTTATCAACCACTCCTTTAATAAAAATACAAAATCCTGATGGTTCGTGTTTTTGGTAATTAGAATTATAAGAATCTTCTGGATTAGGACAACAAGTATTCATTGGTTTGGTAAAACATTCAAAATCCGCATAAGCTACAAAAGGAATAGGTATTTGTTTGTTGTGATTTTTGAAATGTAAAATCGATCCTGATTTTGGCATTTTCACAGAAACTGTCTCGTTATTCGAACAATATAAAATATGTTTTTGTAATAATTCTTCTTTTGTAAAATGAGTAAAACATCTCTTACAAATATGAATTGGCTCATTTGTTCTACTTGTGATTTGTGACCGAAAAAGACGAGAAAAGTTTTTAATCAGAGAATAATGACATTTCCCATTCTCTTCATAAAGAAATAAATCTATTGATTTTTGAGGGTCACGTAACGCCATCCGGAGGGGATAAACTTATTGTCGTGAGTAACTGAAAATACATTTATACCTGGTAAATCTGGATTAATAGTTTCAAATTTGGTAATATCTCTGATTTTAACTGGAAAAGTAAATCCCTTAGGAATATTAAGCTCATGCTCATATTGTTCTAAATCTTTCAAACGACAATCATTCTTTTCTCTTGGATGAAGATAACGAAGTATAGACCACAAAAAACATTTAGAATCTTTATTTCGAATACTAACAATTGCTTTTTTTCTCATAATCCAATCTGGAAGAAGAATATAAGAAGAACCTTTCATTGGACTAAATTTAACAGTATGAATTTCAAGTTGAATAACTTCTTTAAAATACCACCCACTACCATTTTGTTGATAAATATCAATCTTTTCTGTGATGTTAATAATAGTTTTTTTAAGTAATTTTTTTACATTGGTTGATTTGAGATTAATATACGTATCTGAATGAAAATATGCTTTATCCTGAACTTCTAATCTTAGTTTTTGGTCGCCTTCCACTTTTTCCATCATACAAACCAAAACAAACTTTACTTTGATATTTCGATGATTTCTAAGAAAATCTTTAAGAATAGATACTTTATTTCCAAAAACTCTAAGGGAGTAATACCAGGTTCTCCCTTTATTATATGTTTTTTAGCAAATTCATCTAAAGCTGATTTTTCTTTTACAATTCCTTGATTATGCTCCTTAATAGCTCTCTCAAGAGCTTCACGAAAATAAGGAGGATTATCTTCTGGGATTTCTTTATTTTCTATACATTCCTGAAAATACTCATCAAATGATTTTATCTTTTTAATTTTAGAAGGGATTTTGGAGTGGGGTATCTTTTTTGATTTCTTTCTCCATTCTTTTCTTATATCAACGCCTTTTTTTATTTTTTCATTAAGTTTATCTACTTTTCTAATATCACGAATTATTTTTTCTTTTTCACTTAATTCTTTATAATTATCCTTAATTACTTTTTTCTTCTGGTTTAATATATGTTTTAATTGATCCAAAGATAAACTCTTGTACTCTTTATCACTTATAAAGGGTTGAGAACCATTAACTGATTGTTTAGCCATAGCTCCTTATAATCTTATTATATTAATTTCTTTAAATCAATTTATTTTTCCACTTCAACCTAAGTAAAACAGGTTTAACCAGAAAATAGTTGATAACAGTGCTTAATCAGCTAATGACGTAATTAATCAGAAAAAAAAGTCAATGATAGAAAATAACCAGAAAAAAGTCTATGACGTAAGACAGAAATTAATTGAACAATGATAGAAGATAAAGTCAGAAATTTTTTGAAAAAAGTACAAAAATTTGTTAGTCTAAATTCCGTCATTGAAATTTGGGGTCGAATGAGGGAAATAATTGAAAAATGACAGGGGAAAAGTACCAAGTGAGTGAGTACTAAGGAATCATTATTTAACTACTAATGTCTAAGGAATTGAGATCCTATTGAATTTTTCCGTTATGAGAGGTCACGTAAAAAGCTGAGCTGTTCTACCAGAAGAACAAATATTATCCCTTAATTATCCCGGTTGATCACTCTCCCATCGGTTTCAAAGCTAAAGCGCGACTATTCGAGAATAGTGGTGTAATCACTTACAGGAGACCTGTTCCTGGGCGTGGTCCAAGCTTTCTTTGACCCCTAAAGGATATCTTTCTAAAACGAACAACCAAATAAAAGTTATGTATATTGTGTTCTATGTTTGCTTCAGATGCTTTCGTTCTTTGTTTTTCTCTCTTTTGTTTCTTTATTTCTTCATGCATGGTCCAAAGGGATGCCTTCGAGCCTAAAAACACCTTTCCTCTGATTTTCTCCCGCACACCCCTTAAACGAGACGATGAGCACGTATCCTGGCCTCTTTACACGAGTGTTTGCTCCGAGTAATCTTCTCGGACTGACAGCAAAAACTTTGATTTCAGACTGCGTGCATGGTCAGTTCATATGTTTCCCAAGTTTGTTTCTTGCTGTTTGGATGCCAAGATATACGTGATAAACTGTCTTTATGGTGTTTTTTTTTTTTTTTACCTGCGGGCAATGTCCGGTTCTAGTTAAACAAATATCTACTAGCTTCTTTAAAATCATACAAAAAGCTTTGGTTTCTCGTTCAATTCAAAGGGGACCTTAGAAGGGGAGAGAAAGGGATTCAAAATCTCAAGACAGAACAGAAAAGAGCTAAAATCAGGCACGGAAACGTCAAAAACCGCCAAAAAACATCCATATTTACCAAAATTTCTATAAATCGCCTACCGCTTTTTTGGCGGTCTTGTAAATCCGGAAAATCATATTTTAAGGGAAACATCATTTTTTCCGCTTCATAGTGACGGCCACACCAAACGGTAGCGTGTAACTAAATGACCGCCTTAAAAGGGCTAGGTTACGCTATTTTGTATCTTTTTAAAAGTTAAAACATTTTTCGCATCATTAAATTCCAAAAATAATAGTCCAGTTTGTTCTTTAAGCATTAAAACAGTTTCCTGTCATCTGTTGCATGGAAATGGATGTACGCTTAAAGAAAGTCGAGCCAACTTTTTCATGTGTCAATTATGCTGTGCATGAAAAATCACCAAAAAATAGTATGGTTTGTGGTGAAACTTGTTTAATATCCACTTCATAACTGTACAGGAGAATTTTGTGTATCGGCAAAGACATTAAGTAATGATATCAGCACAGAATTGACCTCAAACCTGAGTAATATCCTCGTGGCATTGCCCTTTACGTCCTTCAAAATTTAATTCACTTGAGTGCGCATAAAAATGAAATACATTCCCGTTACGTTTAACAATTAATCTTTAGTTTGTTCTGTTTAAGTTAGAACTGCCATCCATAGAAAGCTTTTTAAGATTAGCTTTCAAATTCGTTGACGCCTGCGAAACACTCTTATTTTATTTAGTTTTACAAAAGGTAATCTCATATGTCCGTAGCCGTAGAAATATTCTTAGCGAGACAATACGAGAAAATTCTAAGGCATATGGACAAGAAACCGTTCAAAAGATTTACTGGGCCGTGAACATATAATTTTTCGGGTTTACATAATAGGAAATTGAATCCAGTTAACTGAAGGGAAATGAGAACATATCGAGAGTTTTGGTTTCTAGACAACGGGTTTAAAAATGCCCCGACATTTTCCCAATTAAAACTATGAAATTACCCAAAGCAATTAAATGCAAAATATCATTCCGTCCTTATTAATTAAAAAGTTTCTACCAGCCCTTCAAAAGAACGGTTTACCTTTTCCAAAGAAATTAAGACATCCTTCACACAGTGACCGGAAATGCTTCAGTCATCACTATTGCTGAAAATTAAGATTTTGCACAACTCAATAGAAACTTCCCACGTTTTCCCTGACCTTGTAGCCTGAATTGGATTTTTCCCTGACAAATCACTGACTGAATTGTAGAAAGCATGAATCTACGTGTTAAGTTCAAGTTAACAGAGGGTTCCAAAATAAGATTAAACTAGCATAACATGCCCAATTTTTTTGTACTGTCAGTGTTGTGATGTCACCAAAAAGATAGACGGTGAATCTTAATCCAGTGTAAAGGGGTATAACTTTAATCCAAAATCGGAATTCGCAACTTTACCTCCCGTTATGAAATCACGAGTTAGGAAGCGGAAGTCCTTGAGTTAACAGAGGACTCAGTTTAAGATATACAAATTAAATT